TTAAAGTTAATCTTCTGGAATAACAAGTTCAGAATATTTTAAACTTTTTAGTATGAGCAAGAATTTGTAAAAAAGTTTTTCTTCAGTGTTAAAAAGTCACAGTATACGGTCAAAAATCTCAGTACTACATACTTTCAGTTGAAGATATTTTTTATTTTGATAAAGGAATATTGTTAAAAGCTCATTTGTCAACAAAGAGGTTCAGACAAACATGATTCAACTTTGTAGACATTCATTTAGTCTCTTGAATCACTAGTGAAAGAATGCTTTTCAGATATGTGTTTTCGAAAGATACCAATGGAAAGTGAAATGGCTGACAGACGTCTTACATAGTTTCAGGTCAGGGTTTCAGATGAGTGGTTGGTGGCTACATAGCTTAATGTTTGCATGAAATTCTTCATAAATGTAGTAAGTACACGTGGATACATACCAGCAAGTAATAGACACAATAGTATTTGCCTCTGTGTGTTTGATGGGTGTTTCAGAATTGGTTTGTAGGTAAAATAGATTATTGTATTTGAGGTTTTATTGCTGACCTTCAGAAGATTAAAGAGTTATGGATTTGATCATGGTGTATTAGAACTTTTGAGAGTTTTAGATCATCTAGTTTAACTTCTTCTTTTTACAAGTAAGAAACCCAGAGCTTTGAGAGGTGGTGGTGCCCATCATCTCACAGCAAAGATAAAGCCTGTAATTCAGATCTATCTCTGAGTTTGTATTTTCTGGTATGTTTTCCTTCCTAATGCCATGGGAGGAAAACCCAAAAAGGCCATGTTACCTCCAGTCTTAATGAGTGAGCGTTTTTCCTGCAAAAGATACCTCTATACCAAAATATGTGGAAAGGGGAAAATCCCATATAAGGGGTATTTTTAATTAAATTAAATTAATTAATTAATTATTTTTTTTGAGACAGAGCCTCAAGCTATCCCCCTGGGTAGAGTGCTGTGGCATCACAGCTCACAACAACCTCCAACTCCTGGGCTCAAGCGAATCTCCTGCCTCAGCCTCCCAAGTAGCTGGGACCACAGGCGCCTGCCACAACATCTGGCTATTTTTTGGTTGCAGCCGTCAATTGTTTGGCGGCCGGGCTGGATTCAAAACCGCCACCTTAGATGTATGTGGCTGGCACCTTAGCCACTTGAGCCACAGGTGCTGAGCCAAGGGGTATTTTTTAAAAAGGAATGTAGGCTTCCAGATTCTACCACATGTAGTTGGTATTTTTTCATTTTCTTTCTCTTTGTCCTCAGT